GCTTCACTGGCCCATGTTGGTATTATCATTGCGCTCTTCCCTGCTGAGGCAGATTGGTCACTGGCCACTGGATGCCTTCTCACAGCAGCTCATGGCAGCTCATGAAAGTGCACTCCAGCTGCCGGCCAGCCCCACTGCAGCCTACACTGTCGCTGGTGACTCATGGCAGCCCAGCTCCAGGTTGAGCTGTTGTTCACCATCTTAGCTGTAGAGGGTGCAGCATCACTGGCCCTCATGTGGGATCTGAACCAGAGCCCTGCTGCTCAGAACTGGTGTCCCAAGCCAACTCTTAACCAGCATGACACTCGGCCGGCCTGTGTCTTTGTAATTTTTAAATTAAATATCAGATATCTCATGCAAAATAATAGAGACCTGAGTAAATACTATTTGCTCCTGGAAACTGGCACACATCTTGTCAGTTCAATAATGTGGGAGTTTGAGAAAATCTAGTTAAGAGTTGAGTGGGGCTTGGGTTTTGTTGTTACTATGGTAACCTTAAGAAAACCCCAGCCTTTCCTTTAAAAATGCCTTGTGCTTAGGATGAGAGTTGTGGTGCTAGAGGGTTTTTCTTAATGTGCATACTTTATCCTAATTTGTCATCTTTTCTTGTGACATGTGCCACAAAGTGGGGTTCTTTAGTCAAGCTTTTCACCTTACTCAGTTGTATATTGTTGTTGCTTGTTATTTGGTGTATGTGAGGCTGGTGGAGGAAGGGTAGAGTGGTTTCTCTTTTTCCTGGTCTAGCCTCAATCTTAGGAAGATTCTATGTGCCTGGGTCTTCTTTTTCTTGCTGTATGTCCTAGAAAGGGCCTGCTCATTAGCCTGAGTAATTGTATGAAGATAAAGTGAACAGAGCCAGAGGTGACTCATGATGGACAAGCAATGTGAGTGAAGGGTACTTCTTTGTCATTGCAAGCCAATAAGATTTTGGGGCCTTCTATTACTGAATAATAATTTAGCCTAAGGTGGCTGATATAATTCTAAAGTATTATTTTTCCATTTAGATGTTTAAAAGTATTTATAGCCAATCAAAGATTTTTAAAGCTCAGAGAAATGGTAGGCGGCTATTTAAGTATTCTAATTACTTGAAAAACAGGCTTGTTTGTAATCTCTTCTGTTTAAGTAGTATAGGTGGGGAGTTGAATAGAGTCATTTGATACAATTGAGCTTGACTTTAAGTCAAAATATATGGGTTTGATTTTTGACCTCATTGTCTCCATTTATGAAATTAGGGAGATTGGACTAACTTTAGTAATTTTCAACTTGTGGACTTTAGAATGCTGAGTGGTCTTGCAAGGAAGGGGTTTGCATGTCCAAAGAAGCCTGGGCATTATTTGTAGCACAAATACCTAATATCTACCTGGTGTTATGAATTGAGTTGTTCCTCCCACCAAAAAAAAAAAAAAAAGTATGTTGAAGTTCTAAACCCCAGTACTTCACAATGTGATCTTATTTGGAAATAGGGTCTTTACAGAAGTAATCAAGTGAAAATGAACTCATTAGGGTGAGCCTTAATGCAATATGGCTGGTGTCCTTACAAAAAGCTGATATTTGGACACAGAAACAGACACTCACAGAGGTAGACAATGTGAAGACATGCAAGGAGAAGAGAGACATGTGACTGGAGTGATGCATCTATAAGCCAAGGAATGCCACAGATTGTTAGCACACACCAGAAGTTAGAAGAGTCGAGCAAGGATTCTCCCTTAGAACCAACGGAGAGAACATGGCCCTGCTAATGCCTTGGTTTCAGACTTCTAGTCTACAGAACTGTGAAGCAATACATTTCTGTTATTTTCAGCCATCCACCTTTTTTTTTTTTTTTTGGTACCTTTTTTACGGTAGCCCTAGGAAATCAATGTGGATTTTGGTACTGGGAAGTAGAGTACTGCTGTAACAAATACCTAAAAATGTAAAGCAGCTTTGGAGCTGGTATTGGGTAGAAGATGGAAGCGTTTTGAAGTACTTAATATAAAAAAAAACCCTCTGCTGCTTTGAAGAGAGAGCTTATTAGCAGAAATATAAATGTTAAACTTTCTTCTAGTAAGGCCTCAGATGGAAATGAGGAACACGTTATTAGAAAGAGGAGGAAGGGCGATTCTTGTGAAAAGTGGCAGAGAACTTGATGAATTTTATTCTGTTGGGTGGAAAGTAGAACTTATAAGTGATGAACTCAGATATTTAGCTGAGGAGATTTTACAGCATAGAGCCCTGAGATTCCGCAGCAAGGCCCTGCCATCTGCAATGGAGAAACAGATCCTTTCGATAAATAGTTCCTTACGTGTTACTGGGTCCTAGTAGAAGGCTTGCTCATGGTGCATCAAAAGAACATGCTCCTAGAACTACCCAGTAAGAACTGGATTATGTCAGCCACCAATCTGAAGTCAGATGAACCCTGACGTAGCAATTTGTAAGATGAAAATGGTACATTGTGGATCGAACTTAAATGTGTGGATGATAAAGCGGAAGAGATTAGAAGTAGGCAGAGTGCCTCCAGGTCACTATGCAGATATCTGAAAGTGATGAGAGGAGAAAGGGACGGAAGGGGGGTAAATAGGAAGAGCTTCGGACTATAGTGTAATTTTGAGATAATGTTGGCCAGGCTGATGGGAAGTCTCTACGCGAATGTTGCTTGTAAGAGGTATCTCATGTTAGGTGGTAACAACCTGGCTCTAGTACCCCTGTTGTACTTAGTCATTGGTTGGGAGAAGCCTGGCAAAAGCCTTGCCTCAACATGAACACCGTACTGGATCAAAAGTGTGTTGACTGGAGGCTGCCAATCAACCAGGCTTCTCAGAGAAAGCTCTTCTGCATGGAGATCTAAGTGGTGCTCCGCTATTGCTGCCACATCTGCCAAGTTGTAGAAATTGATTTTCTCTCCTTTTTCCTTCTCTAAATTACACTGCACCCTCCTTGTGCAGAGTCTTAACATATACTGTTTCCTTCTGCTTGGGAAACTCTTCACCTCTATCATTCAATGACTCTTTAGATCACGGCTCAAATATCACCTCTCCAGGAAGGCTTTCTTTACTACAGGATTTTATAACTTGCTGTACTTTTTATACATGATACTTATTAAAGTTTGCAATTACATATTAGTAATTACACATTTTTTGGAGTCTTTCCTAGGCTGTAAGCTCTGTGAAGACACAGTCTTTTCTATTCTGTATTTCCAATACCTATCACAATGCCTGGCATATAGAAAGCATTCAATGTGTATTGAATGAACAAATGAATTAATTAATGACTCAGTTGTTTTTATTAATTTTTTTAATAACTGAGGAACTCTGAGAGCCTTAGGACATAAATCAGGACATAAATTGCCACCATCCTATATATAGATTAAAGTACAGAACATTCAAGGAAATTGTGCCAGGAAGTTATAGTTTATAAAATATGAAATTTTTTTGGCTCGTTTGCTTGAGTTTGAAGTTAAACAATAAAAAAATATTTATTTTTGGAGAATTTTTCATATTTGGCTTCCTGCTTTAACACTTTATAAATGGCCATTAAACTAAATTAAAATTCTGGGCCCACCGAGTGGCTCACTGGTTGAAGGTTGGCCTGGTAACATGAGCTCTGAACAGCAGGGCCGCCGGTTCGGATCCCACATGGGGCAGTGATGTTGCACCCTCTGCAGCTGAGATGGTGAACAGCAGCTCGACCTGGAGCTGGGCTGCCGTGGGTCACCGGCGACAGCGTAGGCTGCAGTGGGGTTGTGGTGGGCTGCCATGAGCTACTGTGAGTGGCCGGCAGCCAGTGTGAGCTGCCGTGAGCAGCTGTCCAATGGCCAGCAACCGATCTGCCTCAGCTGGAAAGAGCGCAGTGATAACAATACCAACATGGGCCAGTGAAGTGATGTCCTCCACAACTAGACCAAAGAACAAAAAGGACAGCAACTTGTCTGTTCCCCTTCCTTGATTCCCCAATGCTGTTCCCTCCCCCAATTCCCCAATAAAAATCTTTAAAAAAAATTAAAATTAAAATTATAATAGTAAAAATAATAATGATGTAATAATTCAATCATTCTTTAGTATGCTCTATATATTGTACCTCTAAGTCTCTTGTATGAACTATTTCACTAAATATTCTCAACATGATACATTAGTTATTATTATTATCCCCATTTTGCAGCTGAGGAAATTAACACTTAGTGAAATTACATATTTGCTCAAGGTCACAGACATATCATGTTATGGGTCTAGGTTTAGGTCTATCACATCTGTCTGACTCCAATGGCTATGACTTTATCCACAATCCTATAACTGCTTACATTTTGAATTTCTTATTCAAATACTGAATTTTTTTATTTCTTTCTGGGAGGTTATCTAAAGAAAAAAAAAACCATGTTAAAGTTGTACCTAATTTGAGACCTGATTCAAATTGTTTTGAGCCTCAGATTCACCTCAGAAGATCAAAATCTACCCTGCCACTCACCCATTTCTGCACCTGGATGCCTTTCTTATTTATTCTTAATAACACCAAATCCAAGGCCAAACTTAGTGCTTGAGTTCCTGTATCAGTCCTTTATTTTGATTCTCTTTTCCAGTGGTGTTGGGGTTCAGTGGTGTTGGGGTTCAGTGATGAACATAGATGCCTCTCTTGGTTCCCCTTTTTAATGAGTGCCATTGCCATATTCCCAGACATCCAGGTTTGAAATCTCAAAGTTACGCATTCCTTTCTCAAACAATATTTAATGGGAGTTTCCAGAGGATAGAGAGCTTGTTCTATTACCACTGTGTGTATCCTATACAACATCTGGTGTGGAATATGTGCTCAAGAAATAATGGCAGAATGTGTCTTTCTCCCTGGCTGCAGGCATCCATTGAAGATAAAACAGTGTTAAATGCAGTAGCGTTCTCCAGTGAGGACTAAATTCTGTTAACTGCAGTGCTTTTAAACTGGGGATTCAATGGATGTCAGTCAATCCTTTGAAAATATTATGAAAAGTTTTTGTGTCTGGGTATATATGATCATGTTTGTAGAAAAGGGCATATGCTTCAAAGAGTTTAATAATCACTGGTTATTGAAATTTTGCAATGTGGAGATCATCACCTTTAAGAGCAATTTCAGTGAATTGTACAGGCAGAATCAGATTTCAGGGTGTTAAGTGAATGGGAAATTAAAAGGTAGAAGCAGAAAGAAGTAGACTCACACAAGAAGAAAAAAAAAACATGGATATAGGTTAAAAGGATGCTATGTTGCAGGATGCCAGAGACTGGAACTGAAGGGGGAATACAAGAGCTACATTCATTGAAGACTTACTATTTTATGACCACTGAATCATGTCCTTTACATAAATTAGGCATTAGTTTATTGATCAAGTCACATCTTGAACATGATGGAATGGGAAAGGAAGGCTAAGGAAACAAATGGAATAGAAGAGTTGGCCTTGGATGGCATAAAAGAAAACCTCATTCTCCGAGACTTGAAAGAGGGAGGGAATAAAAGTACAAAATGTCAGTGAGTGGAGGCAGAGCCTAAGTTAATTTATACAGATGACCTCAAATTTCTCTATCAAGTAGAAAGCAAGTCCTCAAACAAAAAGAGGAGGTGAAGTTGGGTGTGGGACTTTAGGAAATTGGGGAAGATTTTGAAAAATTACTGAGATTTTTTTTACTTAATAAATATTTATTAAACACCTAGTATGTTGATACTGAGCATACATGGTTTTTGTTCTCCAGGAAGTTGCCACATTTAATGAATTATAAATTCCTGAAAGTTTTGAAACATGTTATAATTATTTTACATATTTCTCAATAGTGCCTAGCCTAATGCTTTGAGCAGAGTATGTAAACATTTAGGTTTTATGTCAACTGAATTGAACCCACAACTACTGTCTTAAGCAAAGCTTGAGGCTCTTGGACCATGGACTATTTTGGTGGGAGTTCTCTTTTTTTAGATTTTATTGGGGAATTGAGGGAGGGAAACAGTGCTGGGGAATCTACAGAAGGGGAACAGACAAGTTGCTGTCCTTTTGTTCTTCAGTCTAGTTGTGGAGGACGTTGCTTCANGCTTCACTGGCCCATGTTGGTATTATCATTGCACTCTTCCCGGGTGAGGCAGATCGGTCGCCAGCCTCTGGACAGCCACTCACGGCGGCTCTTGGCAGCTCACACCAGCTGCCGCCCATAAACGGTAGCTTATGGCAGCCCACTGCAGCAGGGGCTGCAGCCTAGCCGTCACTGGCGACTCATGGCAGCCCAGCTCCAGGTCAAGATGTTGTTCACCATCTTAGCTGTAAAGGGCAGTGTCACTGGCCCTCATATGGGATCCAAACCAGGGCCCTGCTGCTCAGAGCTGGCGTCCCATGCCAGCTCTTAACCAACATGCCACTTGGCTGACCCGGTGGGAGTTCTTTACAAACAGCATAGATCTGATGTTGAAAATATAGCTTGGAATACATAGTAACTGAAATACATTTAGAGCAGAGCTTCTCAACCTCAGCAGTTGACATTTGGACTGGAAAATTCTTTGTTTGCAGAGCTGTCTTGTACGTTGTAAGATGTTTCATAATATCCCTGTTTCTGCTGACTAAATTCTGGTAGCACTCCCCAACTCCCACCCAGTCCTGGCAAAAGTTACTCCAGACATTGTGACATGTCCTCTGGGGGCAAAATAGACCCAGACTGAGAACTCCTGATTTAGAGTATTGATGATTAATTTATGTAAAAATCATTCTGCATAACAAACATCTCAATTTAGAAACTCCAGTTATCACATGGTGATACCAAGGCTTGGCTGCTTCCTCTTTGTCTACTGACTGGTGTTTGAACAATTCCCATTTTTCCAGGAGGGAGCAATGAGGAGACCTTTAAGTGATGATTGTTTTCTCCCTTTAGGAGCTCTAAACGGGAGGGAGGTTGTGCATTTTTCTTTGATCTTTGCCTTCCTTCCTTTAGGATTGTAGAGAGTGGGCTATCCTTGCTGGTGATGCTTTTGCAGTGCTTGTACCTATGTTCATATAGCATGTCAATGTATGCAGTGAGATAATATTGGATTCAGAATCGAAGCTCTTGTGTTTAAAGCCACCATAGTTATGTAAACTTGGCAAGTCTCTTAATTATTTTGCTTTTTCATTGCTTTAGAGTGATTTTGAGAATAATATATGAAAGATAGAGTTTTGTAAGCTATAAAGCACTGTGAAAGATTGAGAATTAATATTTCTTGCCCCTGTGCTTATGTTCAAGATGCTCTCTTATTTGGAGATAAAGGATCAGGGAGATGATTTAAAGAGAAAACTAAAAATATTTGCCTTTTTTCAATGTGTTGGGGATGACAGGAAGTCAAAGATGTTGCCAAATATTCAAGGGTTAGTAGAAAATGCTAAACTAAAGATAGTTGTTCTGGCCATACTGGACTTTATTTATCCTCAGGGTTTTTTTTCTTTCATATTCATTGAACATTTATTAAGCACCCTTCATATGATAGGTGCTTTCACTGAAACTGACTTATTTACTTCTTAAAATATCTCTGTGAGAGTTGTCATTTTATTCCAGTTTGACATAAGAAGGAAGTGAAATTCAGAGAATTTGACCTGGTTCACAGGACTAGTAAGAACTAAGATTTAAGCCCTGATATTAAAACTTCAAGTCCAGGGCCCTTTCTACTATGCCAGGCAATCTCTCCTATGGGAAATATTTAATAATGAGATTAATCCATTTACTAGCTTTCAATTAATGAATTCTTCATTTCCACAATGTGCAAAGACTTGTACAAGGCTACCTATAAGAAAATTCCAAGCTATATACTGGTCGTACTTCATGATGAGACATATATTTTAGAAAGAAATTTTAAAAGTTTGAATCCTAGGGCCGGCCGAGTGGCTCAGTTGGTTAAGAGCTCGCTCAAGAGTTTGAGCTCTGAGCAACGGTGGTTCGAGTCCAGCCCGAGCTGAGCAGCNTTAAGAGCTCGCTCAAGAGTTTGAGCTCTGAGCAACGGTGGTTCGAGTCCAGCCCGAGCTGAGCAGCCGCTGAGCTGCCAATAGGTAGCAGGATGGCTCAGCTAAAAAAAAAAAAAAGTTTGAATCCTCCCTTGTCTAATATGCAAATCAGTGCCATTAGGTGGTCTGAGGCCACAGTTCATCGAAGAATCATCGACATTTCTGACAGAGGAAAGTAAATCCCAACAGTTGGAGCTGCAAGCCACCTGTCTTTTGTTATTTCATATTTTGTCAAAAATTATCAGCCTGGTTGGAAAATAGTTGCGACCAACTAATATTACTAAAATGTATAGTATGATTACATGGAATACAGAAACTGTTCACTCAGAGATAAAATACACATCCTTTGAAATTTTGAAAAAAACACTAAGAATTATGGAAGGATTACTATGCCATTTACTAAGGCCATTACAGAATATGTGACAATTTGTTGGAAGAAAATGAATTCATATACAAGTGTTTTATAGGTACTGAATCTTAGTTTCTTACAGGAGAACTGAAATTGAATTTACAACTATTTGACCAAGCTCCATTGTTTTACAGGTAAGAAAAATGAGACCAGCAGAGGTTAAATGGCTTGTCCAAGGTCATAAGGTACTGAAAGAAAATGACACTTAAATCTTCTCACTATATGAAAAGTCAGATTATTATTATTATTATTATTATTATTATTACTATTATTTATACAAATAGCTCCTATTTATTTGATGCTTATGATTTTGAGAATTTTACATATAGTAGCTTATTTAATCTATACAGAAAATCTAGATAGTAAATATTATCATTGCTATTTTACAGGGAAAGAACTGAGGCTCATGAAGGTTAATATACTTGCAACATGGACTCTACACAGATATACAGAATGATATAAATAAACAAGCAAATAAAGAAATGGGGAAAAAGCAAACACTCTTTTTGGATTATTCCTCTCCCATCTAATAAATGATGAAGGATTGATGAAATCAGAAAAAAAAAATCAACTTTTGGCAAGTATCGCAGTATTCATTAAGGGAACAGTCATCAATAGATGATAACACTAGTAAGTGAAACATTGATGGAACTAAGATATTTACCTAGACTCAAAAGTTCTGTCCTATAAGATAATTATTAATTACAAATGAATATACAAATCACTTTATGTTTCTTCTGGCCTCATGCCATGAGAAGAACACAATACCATCTCTAGAATATCCCTGTAAAACATGCATAACCTGAAACTAATCATAAGAAAACCCAAAGATGAGAGACATTCTAAAATACATCTGACTTGTTCTCTTCAAAAATGTCAATGTCAGGGCCGGCCAAGTGGCTCGTTGGTTAAGAGTTGGCTTGGGAGTGTGAGCTCTGAGCAGCAGGGCTGCTGGTTCGGGTCCCACATGGGCCAGTGATGCTGCGCCCTCTACAGCTAAGATGGTGAACAACAGCTTGACCTGGAACTGGGCTGGCCATGACTCGTCGGCGATGGTGTAGGCTGCGGTGGGGCTGCCATGGGTTGTCGTAAACTACCATGAGTGGCTGGCAGCCAGTGTGAGCGGCCGGCCAACAGCATGAGCTGCTGTGAGACACCATGAGCGGCCGTCCAATGGCTGGCGAGTGACTGCCTCACCCAGGAAGAGCACAGTGATCATACCAACGTGGGCCAGTGAAGCGATGTCCTCCACAACTAGACTGAAGAACAAAAAAAGATAGCAACTTGTCTGTTCCCCTTCCCCGATTCCCCAACACTGTTCCCTCCCTAATCTCCCAATAAAATCTTTAAAAAAAGGAAATGTCATAAAAGACAAAGACTGAATGAAACATGTGACCCAGGATTTTTTTTTTATATAAAGGAAAATATAGGCACAAGTGGAGAAATATGAATGCTACCTGAAAGTTAGATAATAAAATTAGATCAATTTTAATTTTCTGATTTTATAACTGTATATGGTTATGTAACAGAATGGCCTTGTTTTTAGAAAATAGACACTGAATTATTAATGGTCCTAATGTCTATAATTTATCTTCCAATGATTCAGAAAAAAAATGTGTGTGTGTATGTATATGAATGATAAAACAAATATGATAATGTGTTAGCATTGCAAGACTTCTGGGAGAAGGTACAGAGGAATTCTTTCTACTATTATTCTTGTAAATTTTCTTTAAATCTAAACTCGCATCAAAAAGAAGTTAAGGAGGGGATGGTAGAAAATGGTAAAGGGGGTCAAAAGGAAGAACTGAATCTTGCCTGTGAACACACATACAATATACAGATGATGTATTACAGAATTGGACACTTGAAACCTATATACTTTTACTAACCAGTGTCACCCCAATAAATTTAGTTTAAAAAGAAGAAAAGGAATTTGCCACAAGTCACATCCTTAGCTCTGGGACACTAATCCTGGCCGGCCTGAGTTCAGTCAATGCTCTCAAGATTTCAGTGTCAGAGGGTACGATAAGCTCCCGTGGATACTGTGCATTGTGTCATCAAGACAGAGGGGATCTTACCTCACCCATGAATCCTCTACCTATTGCTGCAAGACAAGGAGTTCTATTTACTTAGATTTATATGTGTCATCTAATTTCACTAACAATGACTCTTACCTTCATCACACAGTGCGGTTCAGATGTAAAGTTCTGAGCCTATTAATTATCCTTTGTAAATTTCAGTTTACTCATTCAAAAGAGGGGATAATAATACCTACATCAAGGATTGTTCCAAGGATTGAATATAATCAGGAGGAGAAAATACCTGTATTTTGAAAAACATTGTGGTCTTTCAAAACAATGTTAACTGTATTTTTCTTTTCCTTTTGGCATCTACCATGACAGGTAGGTTAGGCAAAGAGGGTCTAGGGAATTGATTGGATGATGACCAAAGCTCTTTTGAAGGTTGGATTAAGCTGTACCAAATTGCCGTCCCTAGTTTTCTAGTTCTACAAGGAATGTTTGGTATACTTTATATACTCTATTGTAAGTTTTGCATGGGGGAGGTATGACTATTTAAGTTCAGAAAGCAGCAAAGGAACTACGTGGTAGAGAGGGTGCTTCTTTTCTAACTTTTTTTTTTTGTAATGCTTATATTGCACATCTATAGGATTTAGGAATAGAACAAGAATCTGTTCTCTGGTAACATTTTTGAGTCAAGAGCTGCCATGAAAAACCTTAAGTGGCAACAAGCATGCCATTGAAAAAGGAATATTGAGTTTGGGATTTGAGATTGTTAAAATTCATCATAAAATACATATTCTACAGTGAAATAAACTGATAAATAAATAGTATATTGGAGCATACTCTCAAAGTTCACTTATACAAACCTACATTTTTTAAGGAAAGCAGATCCAGAGAAGGAAAATGACTTGCTATGGTTGCAGAGTTATTTAGTGAAAATACTGTGAGATTGGTTCTCTTGACTTTTAGACCAACAGAACCACCACAGAAAGGTAGTTTGTGATTCTTTGTGCCTTGATCAGTTTCTCTAAGCCACTTAAAGTGAATGGCGAAATTTCTATTTCCCCTAGTCCTAGTGTGGTGGGCTAGATATACAGAACAAAACTCCATCTAAAAAACAAACAAACAAACAAAACCAATAGATAAAATAAAAAACAAAATTCTTGAATGAATCACTGAAGTGGCAATAAAATGAGAACTCCTAAGAAGCTGAGAAAAGAAGTTAAAGTAGGAATCCAGAAAATTAAGCTAATAAAATTTTAAGTAAAAAATTCAAGGAAATTACAAAAGATGATATGTTATTTATTAATGCTGATTATTGAATATTTCGAACTCTCTGACTTCTAGGCACATAGTAGAATTATACTTCTTGGATTGCTATGTGAACAATTCTGACCAGTGACTTGTGTGAGTGGAACTGACATATGCGTCTTCTGACCTAAGCATTTAATTCTCAATGAGAGCCTCCAGTGCTCTCTTTTCTCTTGGATGATTGGCAATATTCTACATAGTGTCCTCTTTGTCAGCCTAGGTCCTTGAGTAAAATTGACAAGCAACAGAGATGAAGTCAACTCTTGCAAGACATGTTGGAAGGAAAAAGAAATACAAAATACAAAATAAAAAACATAATGCTTTGTTTTGTAAAGTACTAGGATTTCACTTTGTTAGTGCAGCAAATCCTGCCTGTCCTAACGTAGAAAACATAATATTAATGGGAATAAAAATAACACTAGCAAACATTAGTGTACCTGTTAATATGTTTCAGGCACTTTTCTAGGTGCTTTACATATGTCAATTAATAAATCTCAACAATTTTATAAAGTAGATATTATTATTCTTACTTCATTTATGAGGAAACTGACACACAAAAGGATGAAGTCATTTGCTGGAGGTCACATAGTTAGAAAATGACAGAACTGGCATTTCCTTCAGTAAGAAGGAAAATTATCCTGATTGGAAGGTCTAATATGCATTGGTATGGCACATGAGCATATTGATATATATGAAATAGCTAAACAAATATAACTACATAAAGTTATAAAATAATGACTATTGGAAGTTTATAAAGATAAAATAGAACGAAAATACTGAACAAAAATTGCATATAGTTTTGAAGAAAATGGAAATTGGATGTTTAAGAGTTGTAACGTTTTACCAGGGCTCAAAAGTAGAGCAAATATATAGATAACTTTAAACTTTGTAAGATACTTGGCAAAACATTTCTAAAATAGTCACTACTACTCTATAAGGTATATCACTATATGAAAAGTTAGCTATAAGTGTATAATTTCCAAACATGAATTAAAAAATAAAGGGCAAAGAGAAATCTCAATCAATGTAAAGCGAGACAAGAATGGAGAAAAATTGAAAATGTAAAAAAAATTAATAAAAATTAGGTGGTAGGAAGTAAAACATATTAGTAATTTCAATTTTATTTAAGTGGACTTACTCTCTATTTACAACACAAACTTTTTAATGTTTATTCTTGATACTGGAATTAAACATAGTAGAAGAAATAAGAATAACATTATTTCTACTCATATGCTAAAATAACTAACAAATTATTAACAAAATAAATCAATTATCTAAAAGTATATAATACATCATAGATGGTCAGAATCCTCCACACTGCAAGGTAGGTTTAACATAAAACTTAAATTAACATAAATAGATTAGCATATGATTAAAAGAGAAAAATGCATGACCTTCTCAATGGGTATAAAAGAAGCATTCACTAAAATTAAATATGCATGAATGACAAAAACAAGAATTAGAAGGAACATTTAATAGAGAAACATCAAATTATAAACAAGTCAAAAAGGTTCATCAGAATCACTTCCTTTCAATGATTTCCTGGAAGTTCAGGACAAGAAAAAGCCATAAAAGGCATAAATATAGAAAAGGAAGACACAATGTTGTCATCATTATTTGCAATGCACTGACTGTTTCCATATAAAATGCAAAGAATGTACTAATAAACTACTAGACATGAAAAGGAAATTTTTTCATTTTTGATCAAAACAATATTATTATCAAATTCCTTGTATTTCTGTGCATTACCCATGAGCTAGAAAATGTAATATTAAAAATAATATAATAACAATAAAATATATCTATCTACATACATACATATACAAAGAAATATAAACAATATTTTCAAGACTTAAAGGAAAAATTATGAAATTTAGTTTAAAAGTATTAAAAAAGATCTAAACCAATGGGAAGATATACCATGTTCATGAATAGAAAGATTCAAAAATTTAAAACTGTCACCTGATCTTACAGGAAAGAAAGCTAGAGGAGTTTGAAGATACAAAAAATAAATAAGATTATTTGTATGTGTTTAACATTTTCTGTAATGAAATTTTTTTTAAGTAAATGAAAATAAAACTCAAGTTTTCTCAAAATTATCTATTCTTATGAAAATCTTACCAAGGCTTTTTTGTGCCTTGTAAAATGGGTTCTAAAATTCCAAAATGATTCTAAAATTTTTATGAAGGAGGAAAAACTAAGAAAATCTAAAATGCTCCTGAGAGGGGGAAAAAACCCTAGAAGAAATTGGGGGACATAATCTATTAGATAGCAAGATCCTTATATAAGGCACTAATAATTAAAATTTTAGTGTAATTTTGAGTACAGACAAATAAATCAATGAAATTAGAATAGAATTAGTAGAAACCAACTTACAAATATATGGAAATATATAACAAAATATGCAGTGCAAATCATTGGGTAAAGAGCAGACAACTTCTAAAAGCTAAATAAATGAGACTATATCAAACTACAAAGCTTCTGCACAGCAAAAGAAACCATCGACAAAAAAAAGGCAACCAACTGAATGGGAGAAGATATTTGCAAACAATGCATCTGATAAGGGGCTATTATCCAAAAT